ATATATATATATATATATATATATGGCGGAGGTAGGTGAGTACAATGAATTTCACTCAGTCGCATTGTAGCTACCGTCTTACTGGATAGAGACCGCATGACTCAAAATGAGCCTTGACGCAAATAGATATAACCCAATTAAGCAACCTATGCAGCTTCTGCTTCAAATTTAGGGATGTCATTGTCAAGTTGTACCTTCTTCCACTTCCCCACATGGGTACAGCGATTGTGCTTAGTTGAACCACCAACAGTTATCTGTGGCACGGCATCTCACTTCACAATGTGTCCTACTACCATATAGTCTCACTGTCGTTTTAGAAAACAGTAGGAGGTCCTATTAAGGTTGAAACGTGCTGGTGATGATGGTGCCGATAGCAGATTTTTTATTATTTTTAACTTCCAAATTGGCCTTTGCACCCTGTGTAAGCAGTGGTTCATTTGCTGAGGATAAATAGGGGACGAAGTGCAATTTGCACTCTGTTGGTTTGCATCCGTTGTCTCGACATAATCATAGTCCATGCCACTTCTGTGTTGACCGGATACACGTATTCTCTGGTAAACCATTAAATGGAACTACATGTTGTGTTTGGCTTGCTGCTATCTTACTATCTGTATCACTCATGCTTACGTAAAATGTGTGGTTTTTCTGTCTCTTTCAGTATCTGGACTGGACTTCTAATACCCATCAGTGTCATTTTGGTTGCAGTGATTGCCTATAAGCTTCTGTATTGATTTTCTTTCTTCTCGAGTCTGCTTTCCAACGCCGTGTTTTGATAGTTTGATTTGCTCTGTACACAATGAATCATAATATATTCTGTTTTGTATCCGGTTTTCCTCTGTACTCTTTAATGTTTGAACCGTTAACTGTAATTTTCATGGTCGTTGCTTGTTGCTGGAGTAATTTTACTGTCACGGTGAATGCGGGGTCTCTGAGTAACGGCTTTTTGCTGTGTGATGGCCATTGCAGAGACAACCAGGAAGGATATTGATTTTTACTTGTGACATCCAAGTTTAAACATAGATTTTCCACCGCTGTGGTGTAACACATGGAGTGACTGACAATCTGTTATCGACACTGTCGCTTTAATATACATTGAGTTTACTCCATGTACTCACCCAGTGATTCTGGTATGATAATAGTCCTCAAGTAGATCATAAGGTTGACGGAAACTCGGGACTGCGCCTACCCGATGAGCCCCAAGAAGGGCGAAACCGGTCGTGGGCCTTCAGTAAATTTCAAGTAACCTTATGAGTAGTTTCCTTTATGAAAATAGTCCTCAACCTCTTTGGTCGAAGTATTTTGGAAATGTAGCAACTCGGACCACTCATGCACGGTTTACAGCTGATAATAAAGATGATGGTTTAACTGATCTACACTTCCCTAGGCTCTCCGTCACAGATGTGTCTTCTATCGGCCGATAAGCTTCCACGACTGTATAGGTGGCAATATAGAATTTCACGAACACCAGCATCGTTTTGATCGACAAATGCAAGCATCAGGACATGACTCGGGTGAGCCTCGAATTTTCCCCCACATCGATCCCATGAAGAGTGAAGCAATTGCCAGAGAAACGTAAAGTAAGGTGAACTGTTGAAAAAAAAACGAATGAGGCTTGCTTACACTGAACTTAATGAAAAAGGTCTTGACACACTTATCATGCTCGCTGGACGGCACAATCAATAGTGAATAATGTGAGTTTGAAGCCGGATCTGAATGCCATCGCTCGTATGATCACACTGTCATGGCAAGATCATATTCGGGAAAGCAAGTGATTGAGTCATATATCTTCACCCCCTTTCAAATCACATTGAATATTTCATCCTATGTGCAATCGTCATTACCTGACCTACTGTCTGTCCGTCAGCTCTTTCACGTTTTGATTGTTCCTCAGTGTATTCTTGATAGTCTGTTGGAACCACCACAGTGTGTAGTCTTGGGCCAAGTACAGTAGAAAGCTATTGTTACACGCGCGCAGGGTGCCAGTGCACATCCTTGCTACGCCTCTTCCATCACGCACAGATTAAACACAGTTGGTGGACAACAAAAACAAGCGATAGTTGCAATTATCGAGTGGTGCAAACATCAGATGAATCGAACCAACAATCAGCATTATAATGGCCATTGTTTTCGCGCCTAAGGTCACTATTTTCATTCGAATTATGTAAATTCCACTTTATGGTGCGTGAAATTTCGTCTCAGTTGGGAACAACAATAGTACGGGTTTCTGACACAAGGCACTGAAACCAGAACGCTCATTATGCCTCAAAATGTTTCATTCAATACATTAGTGATTGAAATCTTATAGTGAAAACATCCACGCATCCGACCGAGGTTAGTCATTCATACTAATAGTCAAGGACCTTAGACTAGTGTTTGTTTACCTTCCTTGTTTATTATGCGGATAGTTTATTGACTTTACGTTTAGTTACTCAGGCGCCTTCTATGTGCCGTCACTTTGTTTATTCATTTTGTGGTTGGACCATTACATTTCGTCTGTCGAATGTAGGTCCACGAAATTATGGAAGCTGGAATCACTTCGTCACTGCCGAAGCTGGGCATTTAAGTCCCTCTTAACTTGGTGTGCACATGCACGCACACAGCGAGTGGAATGCAGTTCCTGCTGTCAGTTAGTTTGCTTTCCTGGATCAGCTCTCTTTAACGGGTGTAACTTTCGATACGAAACCAACTATTAGTTTCACCGTGCATGCCAGTCTATTCATTCAGCCTTGCCCGCCATATTGCTTGGCCGAGTATCAATTCAGGCCTTCTCGAGACACATTAGTGGCTCCTACTTATACTTGAGCAAATTTGTAATTTTTCTCTCTCTGACTTTGATCCCTCAGTACGACCGATGTTTCCAGTTGTAGTTTGCCTTTTACGCTTTGCTACTAAAACCAACTCCGAGCTCCTTTCCATCTCTCTCTCAGCCGACGTGTAAATGCCATTTTTCTCTCAGGTAGCGTTTGCTTTCTGAGTAATGAGGGTCAGTCTGTGTCCGTAAGGGTCGTACAATGTCCATATTTCCAATTCCATATTTCTCAATTCAAGTGGTTGCAACTGAACAGCTGAGCCCCACAGTGCGGAGTGTTATCTGGTGGCCGTTGCCATCCATGAAACACATCCTAGGTACACCATCATTCAACTAGGCCTTTTCCATGATGGTCATCGACAGTCACTTCTTTCACCAGTGTAGGCTTAGCACTCCGGTATGTCTGTAGTGTTACGGAGGGTGAGTAGCAGATGGATACACGAAATCCGTGAGTAAAAATACCGCAACTTACAACAATACGGCGTATACAAAATAGATTTCAGATAACGATAAAAAGAGAGCTTCTCAGTGGGAAACCACATACGACACTAAGTTTAGGGCGGTGTAGACAGTAAAATAACCGGTACTCACAGCAGCCTGTACGACTCGTGAGACGCACTCTAAGCACATGCGGATGGCCAAGCAGTGCTAGGCCTACCCCAGCAAGCGTCGTTGAAGGTGGCTTGTATGTGTCAGTGAACCCATCAGGAAACGTGTCCTGGTGCTATCTAAGAGATGGCTTCAGATTATTTTATTCATATTTGTTGAAAATATGAAGTGCAGTGGTGTTGGTAACAATTCGCTTCATTAAATGTGCAAATTGACAGGTGGTGTTGCAAGAACAATTGAGCTTATTTTTTCTGGCACTTTCATAGTTAACTTTGTGAACAACTTAAAATATAACATCAGTGAAACCTGCTTTTGCAGAGGCTATTTAGATATCACGTTTGTAATCCGAAATAAGAACGCAGAGTGCCTGCTTCAAAAACCGCATACGAACCTGATTTCTGCTGCTGAATTGTAGTGGGATAGCGACTTGACTTTTCCAATAAGCTGATGACTCAACAAGCTGAAAGGTTAACAGGATGTAAACTGATAGATACTCAATTTAACTCTTCAGTTGCAGAAGAGTCCTAATATGAACCCTTTCTTGCACAAGCTTAACTATGACCCCTGGGAAGGTTCGGGTCAGAGGGAGAACACATTGTTGCCTGAGCTGAATGGGATGTTCCGGTGCACCTGTTAGAGAGCATTCTGTCTCAACTAGTCTCGAAGAATACATCTTTCTGACACCCAAGAAAAGGTTTTCAGCTGGAATTCCGGAAAATCAACCATTCTCTAAAAAAAGCTGTGAGACAAACGCTCTCTGTCACTGACCTGATATAGCTAGCTATGATTGTACGCATGGTACCACGACTAACAAAGTACAACCTGTCTATTCTGACCATTTACCGTTGTGCCTACAACTATAACTACGCGTGGAAGCATCTAAATAGAAAGACAGTCAACTGTAAGGATAGGTAAATATCTCCCCCGTCGGTTACAGTTGATAGTCTTGAAATTGTCGGGGACATCCACTGTGAAGCATTGGAGAGTTACATTATATCATTATTCTATACTCCTCGCTGGTCGTCATCTGTCTTTCAGAAGGGTTTCTTTTGTGTTCGACTGACTTTATCTATCAGGCAACTAGATTTCGATCCGTATTAAGGAGGAAATAGTGTTTTTCCTATTTCTACCTTGGTAGTATTATAACGAAGTAAATATTATCACACAGTCTCTCCCACTCCCTTTCTGATGTGTCTGTGCCAGCATTTGTTACCCAGGTCAGTCCCTGTTCGTAATATATAGCCAGTATATTACCTTAATTTCCTCCAGTGACAGCTCTATGTTCATACACCCCTGTGGAATCTTCTGGTGTTGAATTTTCGCCTGCGCGCTATTTAACGCACTGGTTCATCTGTCATGACAGCAAACAGTTGAATGAGATGTCGATTAATTGAATGGGCTCAGGTAATATCTCTTATCTTTCATGCTTCTTTTGCAAGTGTACAAGAGTGTATATGTTGTCCCGATGGCGCTTTTCAGATGCGATGCTCTCCATCTGTGTGGCTACTCGTGAGTTGACTGGCAGACAGCATTCGCTGTCTTTCGTAGAAGTACCACCGCCTTACGTAGTTTGTCAATTCAAGCCCCAGGTTTGGGTTTCCGGTTTGTCTTGCTTGTCGTCTTTATTTTATGATGTGGTATTTACCATACCGACCTACATGTGGTTTACTTTAACATCCTGGGTTTTCCGGGGTGAAGTGGGGTGGGTTGGGATACCAGACGTACATCAATGCTGTAGACGACTTTCGGTGGCCGCTGTTCTACTGATAAAACTTATTGCTGGCTGGCACTTGCTGGACGCGCCTCTGGTGCGCCTTACCGACGGTGCGGGCCATTCAGATATTCTTGGCATTTTCCGATGTCCTAAAATAACTTGGCACTTATGAACTGCCCCCTCATGTTCGCCGTTTGATTCTTTCATTTCGGATTACATCGGATAATGGGTTTGTAGCTCGGGCCGTTCGGTGTTAACCGCCTTTCATGGGTGCCCATCCATCTGCTTCCCCCATTGACGCAGTTCGATTTAAAAGGCAATTCTGGAAACGTATGGCTGGCCATAATAAGAAATTAGATGTTTTTTTATATGCTCGATGTATTTCCGTTACTTATTTTAGCTCAGTTAGCCAGTTCCTTTTACGGGATGCGGCTAACAACTGTCCTTTGTCGCGGTAAGCGTGTCCCCAGGGAGTACCTAGAACGTCTGCGCAATCATCTTTGGCGAAATCACTACTCGAAAATGAAGGTGGATCGCTTACGTGTACCTGAGCGCGTGATTAATGACCCAAACAACCCTATTAGAAGCGCTGAGGATATGCTGGAGTCCACTCGCTATGAAGACTCACTGGCTGAGGAAATCGAACTGGGTGTTACGCCTCAATATGCTGCTCAAATTCAGTTTGAGCGAAATCGACGACTAGATCCGTGGCGACGTCTGGCGAACGACCCTCGGCAACATCATTTCTCCGAAGCATCCTTGGTTTATTCCAATCAGCGACGGTTCACAAAAGGTTTAGAGCAAGCAAGCATTTTGACAAACGTGAGCGGTATTTTGTGGTTCGTCCTGTCGCCGTTTGCTTCCTTTTTTATTCCAGTCACCATTTGTAACTGTTGGACGTATCCTGACCGTTTTCATGTTTTCAGACTTCTTCATTAATCTGACACTCCAATTTCGTGTCGACCGTTCGAACGACCATCAGCAGGTCATCATCATTATCGTCGACAGCATAACATCAGTCTTCAACACTGATGCGTCGCTACCTTACAACCATGGTTTATTTGAAAACCTTAATGCGAAGGAAGAAATATAGATTGATGAGGAGGGGACTTAGTGCTGGCCCACATCTCGAGACACTCATCCAGGTAATCTGGATAGGAACAACAAGAAATTGATGAGGAGGGGACTTAGTGCTGGCCCACATCTCGAGACACTCATCCAGGTAATCTGGATAGGAACTGACAACAAGAACCCCAGTGGCTTCGATTAGCAGTCATATCCTGCAAGGTCTCCAACCAGACGCAGTGGGAGTCATGCGGTCCCCATCCTGGGAGGCGATTCACAAAGAAAACACCAAGAATTTTCGTAATCTTTCTCATAACCTACTGCCCGGTCAAATTTTGGGCAATTCTTCGGTTCCGCTACTCTGGATTGCGCACTGAAAACAACACTCTCCAGTAAACGATGGTTCGGCATGCGTGATACATGGCAGCATCTAGTGTTGGACACGTTCTTCAATGGAAGTTATGTTGCACAATCGAAAGCTCCCTTTCTAATTAACGTGTTGTGGATTCTTCGACACCAACCCACACGAACTATGGTCCTGAGACAACGATTTTCGAACACCTGAAGACGTCTCAGTTCCGCTTTTCGAACAGGCGAAGTCTCACGACCATACAACGAAAAATTCCTTACTGAAGACTGATGCACACGTTCCTTGAGATTCAGGGATGTATCGCTTTGACTCCATAAGTGTCTCAAATTAGCAATGCGATCCGAGCCTTGTGGATTTGTGCACAGACCATTTGTTACACTACAATCAGAACTAATACAACTTTCTAAATGCGTAAAACGTTCCACAACTTCTGGTGTCTCTTGGATTGTAGGTGGTATGTTCAGTGACTGCATGTCCAGGATCATGACCCTGCGACTTGTGAGTGCAAAGTGTATGCCAAAGGACGGGATGATTTTAACCAGTTCATCCAAAATCACCGCCTCGTTTTCGGTGACTATAGCGATGTCTCTGCATATTTCGGGTCGACAAGGTTTTCGTCAGAGGCTGTTTGAAGGTTTCCCAGCGTTCGTCTGATTATCGATCACGAAATTAAATAGGAATGGAGAGAGTGGACACCCCTGACTTACACCTCTTTGTCTACGGAAGCTCTTAGAGAGCTCTTGTATACTCTCACACGTCCGGAAATTTTTGAATCGCCATCAAAGACAGCAACATCAGTGTTGACATTGATGCTTCACTGCCGTACAACCATAAGGTCTGTTTAATTATATATAAAGTCTTAGAGTGTAAAAAGAGAGGAAAAGGGTGGGTGAGGGGGAGGACCTAGTGCTAGTCTATGTCAAGCATTCTGAGGTACCTATGCTTCCAAGCGCTCACTCAGATTATCTGGAAAGAAACTGATAGTACGAACGCCACTGGCATCGATCAGCCAAACACAGATGGAGTCGCAGGGACCCATTCTGGGAGGTGTACAATACCAACAACACCCAAACTCTTCGTAATATCTTATAGGCCCTTCTGCCAAGTCATATGTTTTCCACTTAACGGTTTGCACCATTCTGAGAGAGGCACAAACAACAACACTCGTGTCGTTAGGTGGTGCTTCGGCATGCATGGAACATGGCCGAGACACTGTAGTTGATGATTTTAGATGCCTTCCGCGATTTGAATAACTGCTGCACAATCAACTACCCGTTTTCTAGTCACCTCGTTACTAATCCGTTGACGTCATCGAAAACCAGGAACGCTCCTGAGGCATCGGTGGTCGGAAACCTGAAGACGCCTTGAATTATCTGTCGGCAAAGGCCACGTCTCGCACCCATACAACAACCCAGCCTTCGTTATGGCCTGGTACACGCGACCCTTAGGATACTGCGACCAACAGCACGATGACGCTTGAGTAAGGAAATACACTCGGACACTTCTGAGATTGAAGGCGGCTCCATATTCACGGTCCACCTTTCTGTTGAAGACCAGGATTCTGGATTGGAGGTTACAGGTGGCCAGCTGAATTGTCGTTCAAAGTACTGTGCCCAGCGGTCCAAACGTTCTGCTTCGCTGCATAACAGGGAGCCATTTTCATCCTATCAGAGATTCACTGTCTGGATAGGGTTGGCTGGGTCGTACTGCAAACAGACGTCCCAGCTTTGAGTAGTGCTTTGGCTGTATTCTCCCAGTGGCCGTTTATATCCGACATTGGACCGTCCGGCAGCTGGTTGTGATAGTTTCGTTTGACTTCTGGCTTCTCAATGGCTAAGCGAAGTGTGTGCGTTTTGCGTACACTTGAAAAGCTCAATGAAAAGCAGCAGCGTACAAATGCATGGTCGGCGTCCACGCTGGTGTTCCAGAAGGAGTGATAGGCGGTGATCAAACCTCGACACTGATAACTTACGGTGATGTTTTCTATTTGGACTCGGTTTTGGTTTGTTGATGGGCACCATGTCGGCAAGCGATTTCCAGTGTTCCGGAAATTCTTACTGCAAAGGAACAGCCTGTGGTCGGCACACATCTGAAGTAAGCGATTCCCGTTGTTCGTGCGTCTCGTGTCCAATCCAATACGACGACCCAGTCGGGCCTCAGCAGCGCTTGGTCTACCTACCTGGGCGTTCATGTCACCAGCGAACACAATGACATCTGAGGTTTTAGCCTGCTGTAGACGGGCACCCGAAGTATCTCGAAAAGTCTCACAGATTCAGAGCTACAGTCTGTTGGGGCGTAAGCAGACAAAATAAAGAAGGTGCGACCGACCTCGTTTCCTCTAAATTCTCACAGATTTTGCCAAACGAACCACACAGAAGCGACTATCAACGGGTATCCGATCAAGTAGAGACGCTTCCGCCCGGTCGCTCAATACATTACCCACCCCAGCATATCCAGCTACAGCCCTCATCACCGGAGATGTGTAGCTGGAACCTGGAAGAGAGAGAGAGGGGGGCAGTCAGTTCGATCAAAGTACTTGCGTCCTGCATTCTTGTTCCTTACAGACAACATACATCAATACAGAGGGAATACAGAGTATGAGCAAGAGCAATCTGTTGATCTGCTTGCTTTAGTGTGCGAACATTAAAGGCTGCTAGGTAGACGGACTTCGGTGATTCAAAACAGACTTCGAAGTGTGTAGGGTTATTACTAAAGTCGGACGCACAGAATTTGCAGCTGAATGTGATGCAGGGCGATTAAAACGGTCAGTTCTAGTGCTGGGACCTGCGGATAAAGCATTCGAATTTGGATGGAGGAGAGTGGAGGACGGAAAACGTGAAAGCGTAAGAAGGGAATCGTCATCAGTAGCATATTCTTGCTTACCCATCCTACTGTGTGCAACAAGTAAGGCGATCCGATGGCACCACTCGACATCCGATGTGGAATGAAATTATTTGTGAGTGTGCAATTAATGAACGTACGTGGGATGGGATACTGTCAGAGTGCCCACATTTAGGTAGGAAAATGACTAGGCTCCTCAACCAAATCCTTTGACCGCAAGGCGGCGGTGTTTGGCAGGAAGTGTGTGTGCATTACCATTTTTTCAGAACAAGTTGCCACACATGTTCCAACATCCAACATGGAGGGCCAGGAGACTGTGTTAGTCAGATCTCTAAAAAATTGTTCAGCTGTTGCACCCTTTCGGTGCCTAACTGCCAGGCTTAGATACTACCAGGTTGCTTAAGTCTAGACAGGGGAAGTCGGGAGGCAGAGGTTGATTTCGCACCACGGACCTTCCGGTGAGTAAATTCGCGCCCTTACCACTGAGCTATCTCGCCCCCTCCAGACCTTTAACCATTGACCAGTCCAGTATGGGTGCACAAACCATCAACTCGCGTTGCTTTACGTGTGACAGCATCAACAGGTCACTTCTTGTCTTATCAAGTATGTTCATTGGTCAACTTGGTATTGGCGCATTCATTGGTCAGTTTAAAAATGTGTGTGGAACTGATAACAACACCGAAAATAGTTGACACGAACTTGCCAATTCCAACCCGAGAAATCAGATATACCAGCATCGAGAGTATAAAGTTTCAGCGCCACAAATGTGATTTCGTTGTATTCAAGTCTGGGAGAGCTACGGGTTATGACTGATTTCCACAATGACCGAACTTCTGTTCGATGACTAGACTCTATTGATAATATGTACTTGGCTTAGCGCACTTTATATAGACAATGGAATTCGGTTATTAGGAAATGCGCTCTCCACTTTACCTTGTTTAATGTTCTCTGGTCTATCCTCAACGTCTTTTTCATTGCGTTTTGTAAGCACTGGAAAATATTGCAGAAAGATCTGGTGATGGAACTGTGCACATCCTGTTTTGGTCGTTGGTTTGTTCACGTGGCACCACTACGTTCTCTAACAACGCACTAAATATGTCACCTTGATTGGTGATGAAACGGTGCAATCAAATCTGGTCTATCCTCAACGTCTTTTTCATTGCGTTTTGTAAGCACTGGAAAATATTGCAGAAAGATCTGGTGATGGAACTGTGCACATCCTGTTTTGGTCGTTGGTTTGTTCACGTGGCACCACTACGTTCTCTAACAACGCACTAAATATGTCACCTTGATTGGTGATGAAACGGTTGCAATCAAATTACCCAACTCAGCGAACAAACCAACAACCATCTACGCTACCTGAGCTGCCAACATTTTCCTCTATAGAAAACATCTTGTTTTGTTGACTTCGGTTATGTGCTCTATATCCCAATCGTTAGTTCCGTTGTCAGTTTACTTATCTGTTCACTGTAAATGTGACGGATTTGGCGACTACTGACACTCTTCGGAACTCCATCATTTCGGTTCGTAAATGGCGACATGTATGTTCCACCAAATGGCGATTTACATAACGGTCTAGAATACACCTGTGTGATATTTTTGCGAGGCGGTTTCCAACATTTGAGAATTGAGGTGAGATTGATACGAGGCTCGATTGAATGTCGCTTGTGATGTCCTTCGACCAGATACGAAGCATGAAGTCTCTCTCAGAGTTCAAGAGACCGAATTATTTCTTCTTGATGTAGCGGACCAAAGTAGTATCCCTGAATTCAGTGTTTTACCATCAGTTGTTCGGAACAACCTGAATAAATGCAATCATGCAGGTAGGTAATCCCGAACGACAAATACATTATTCGTGTACTACCGTTGTTGCTGATGACGATGCTGACCTTAGCCTTGTTTTATGTCATCATGTAAGAACATCTCGAAATACCGTCTTGTAACTGATGAAATGCCTATTTAGTGTTACCACAACAGTGAACCGCTTGGCAGTACTATGTTCAGTTCCTTTTTTATCCTTTTCACAAGGCTATCGTCTTACCAGGAGTCCCACCGAGTGTGGGTAGTCTTTTGCCACAACTGGATCGTCATATTTCCGCACCTGACTCAGTAGATGATGCCAACACCGTTGCTTGGAAAACGCAGCTTCGGGGTACTGTCGAACGGGCTATTCTTCATGCTCACGTCTGGCAATCCGACGAGGACAAGTTACCCCGTCGTTTTCGAGCCAACCTGCCGATATGGAAACACAAAGCAGAGTTCGGAATCCATCCACAGCAAACAACACGATATCTGTTCCAGAATCTGTTTCGGATACTCAACCAGCAAGTTAGTTTCGAGAATAGGCGAGAAAGCACCACTTTTTTCTGTAGGGATCTCTGTTTAGCTAGGTACCCGCATTGAACATCGTATGTATGTGATTCTCACTTGTAGCCACATCAAGCTAAGTCATCCCTTTCTGAAACCAGAGCTCAGTGCTTATTTCACAGTCCCATTCATAGAGATTACATTGCAAGGCCTGTAAGGGGCCAAGTTCAACAGTTTTCAAACAGCTAGTCATAAACCGGTAGTACTATCATCCCCACCAACCATCTGTCCATATATACTGTGTCTTTGCACACCAGTCTGCTCATTGTATGACTATATATATATATATATATATATATATATATATATATATA